GCCTTGAGACCTCTAAAATGAGCGCCGCAACTGTCGTATAGTTTCCTCAAACGAGTTGTATCTTTATCGCTGAACACCGGCGCTAAGTTTAGCAAGTCATTCACATGAGCACGCTGTATGGCAGTGAGACTTCTAAAACAAAGGCAGGTCCAGGTGGACTGGTACGAGTGGCATTGTTTTGGAAGTCCCAATGTGCAACTTGCTCACCAGCATGTGTGATTTTGTACCATGTGACTGGATCGTGCAAAGGGCCTATTGCAGGAGTAGAAAAGAATAATGACGATGCATGAAGAGTTTTGAGATGCAAATCCAACAACTGGGACGGTCCAGCAGATATAATACGCACAGAAGGTCGTCAACGTGGAAAGAAAGGCGTGCTGTCATGTTGTAGATGCCGTTTTTAGCAGATTGGAGCTAATTTGGCCCATATCCAGCCTGAAAATCTCCAAAATGTCCAAAAAATACGTTTTTGTCAAAAAGCTCCAGGAGTCAATGGGTTAACATGGGGTTCTTGCAAAGGAAAAAGAGAGACGTTCCTGGTAAGCCCTATTGCATGGCTGCATCTCCCCATGTTGTAGCTTCAAATACTTTTTTGATGACCACGACAAGAGGAAACGCATTCTTACCGCAAAAAAAAAAAAAAAAAAAAAATTATGCCCTTCTCCAAAAGAGTCAAGGCACCTGTCCCAATCCTGTGGAAAATCTTTTTTGTCAGAGTGCCTCTCTTCAAGGTAACACCAGCCCCCAGTGAACTCTCCTCTACCCTCAAACAAGTGTTTGAAAATGTGGGAGGGAAAATCGATTGTCACTGGAAGGCAACATTCAGATTTCAATCTTCTTTTTACTGCTATTCTGAAGCTGTCTACTGCCTGAACTACCTCATTCTTTCCTGGCTGTGGGTTTTCAAACAACCTAACAATACAAATAGGAATACAATAAGGAACTTTATTTTACGGAGGCTTTTAACTATCCACACAAATTAGAGACTGTGTGTATGCTTCTCTGCATTTAATTCCATGTCTCATAAGCTTAAATAATTTAAATAAGTATATAAGTATATTTAAAAATTTAAAGAGGGGGGAAAGAAAACAATAATATGTTGCATCAATTTCAAAGGTTCACATGAAATTAAACTCAATTAAACTTAGAACACAAAAGAAAAATCATAATACTCGAACAGTGTGTTACACGTGTATGGTAATATTTATTTTAAAAAACTGACCAAATACAATCCTCTGAAATGTTATCTGACACCTCCCACTTGGATTCATATTTGGAGTAGCCACTCCACTTGACCAAATATTCTGTACCCTGAAAAAATCATGAGACACAGTGCTTCTGAGAACTTGGCAAATAGTGAAATGAAATAAAAGCCAAGATCAAAGATTAAATATACTTTTAGGAAAAGGGCATGGATATTCAGGTCAAATTCTAGGATCTTACGTAATATCTCACTGAACTTGAATGGTTGCTTTTGTTTTCATACGCCTCGTTTGTTACAACGCTCAAAGAGATGTAAATAAATGGCCGGGTATTCTGAGGGTGCTCTTGGCGGTTTTATCTTTCCTAAGTCTAAATCTAACCTCAGCGGCCAATCGACGAAAACGAGCCGCGAAGTGACGAGCGAACAGATTAAACTTTAATAAGCTTATTTGTTTGCTCACCTCATTTCCTTCTCGTTTCGAAATTGAGCCGCTCAACCTCATAAACACCCTTTCTCTTCTTCGGCCGGTAGTCCTTGTATAAGTGACCAAGGATATCCACTGTTGACGTATTTTGTAATTTTTTGTAATCCATCTCGTCCAATTATCACATCCAAAACACAATCAAAGTGCTCGATCGAACCATGCGATCTCGTCTCTAGAGCCTGCGTTTCGGTCAGCGGTGCCACGTGCGAAAGTGAAATGAATATTTGGTTACGGTTACAAAAATTCGATTTTACTGAAACAGGAAGTAAACAACAATTTTCGCTTGGGCTGGCACTTGAAGAGTGCCTGCTTCCAGCTACTGAAGTCATATTGCAGGAAACACTTCCACTTGCCGTTTTTTGATGGAAAAGAGCAGAGTATGTCTCTGCTTGGGAAAGATCCGTGCGAAAACACTACAGCTCCAACGAACTTGTCCATCTTCACGGCTTCATGTTCAATTTTAATTACTATCGTTTCGTCTGTTGGGAACTCTCTCGTGGTTCTTGCTGTGTTCTTGAATCCTAACAGAGACATGCGGACACCCTTTTACTACTTCGTAGTCAATCTTAGTATTGCGGATCTTATCGTTGGACTGATAACAGGTTCTATGTCTACGGTATATCACATATTTGCGGCAATCGACGAGCCGAAGAAACTTTTTGGGACGGTGTTGATTGTCGCATTCTTTGTATCTTGCACAGTGTCTCTGCTCAGCCTGACAGCCCTGGCGCTGGAGCGCTATCTCGCCATCGTACACCCTACGACTTATCGAACTCAACTCAGCCCAGTCAGGGCGTTCTTGGTTTCCGTTTTGGTGTGGATCTTGTCCATTCTGCTCACGATGATCTACTTCTTTGTGCAGTACAACATATATCGCTTCATCTTTGCAAACACAGCTTTGGCTGTTACCATCGTTGCGCTGATTTTTACAAACGCAAAGATTTTGAAGTATTTGCGACACCAGATGCAGCAATGGGACACCTTCCACGAGAGTACAGAAGAGAACTTGATTATGAGACAGTTGATGTGGGAAAAGAAAATGACGAAAACACTGCTCATTGTAATGCTGTTGTTACTAGCTTTTTATCTCCCATCATGTATTTTTATTTACATCATCAACCTGTGCAAAGATTGTAATTGTGTGTTTATTCATTGGATCAGGGACACTCAGTTTCTTCTTGTAATGGCCAATTCAGCCGTGAATCCATTTGTGTTCCCCTGGAGGTTGGAAAATTTTCGAAGTGCTTTTAGGAGCATTGTGACATGTCGCGCGCGTAGGAGCGACTCAGATTAGGTCCATGTCGGTTTTGAATCACAAACATTGTCAACCGCTGCGCACGTCATGGGTCTTAAAACAGCTCTGAAAGATGCAATTTATAGTTGATACAGAAGACATAAAGTAGACAGTCGAAAAAACTGAAAAGCAGAATTTACGCAAGGTAGATCATAAGACGTATGGCAGCCAGTCGGGGTCAAAATATGTAAAACACGGGACGTTTGTGTCTGATGATGACTGTCTGTGAAGTTGTGAAAAATCAACATCACGCACAGGTGCTGACTGACTATCGGTTTATTTCGGTTCATATCGAGGGACCTTTAGATTTGAGCAGGTGTACGACGATGTGGAATTTTCAATTCCAGTGCTCTTGCTTTCGATCATTACTCGTCACATCTATCTTGTACCGATACAATATACTCTACTAGCTATTTAACTGAATATCAGTGATGTTTGTAAAATAAGACGGTTAATGAAGACGGAATGATTAAATCCATTGACCTTTCCCAGGTTTTTACTGCATAAAACATTTTGCTACCAGACCTCGCTTACTGTCATCTTTTGCGGCACTTGTGGGAATTGTGCGACAGACGCAAATTACGAGAGACACTGATATACAAGGTTGAGAAGGAAATGGTACCTGACTGTATCCTACAGTTGTGTGATACGCAAAAGTGAAAGGACACATCTACGGGAAACAATAATTATAACATTCCCAGTTTTGACACGAAAAAATTTGGCTAGCATTTTATCAAATTTCCTCTGCCATCACAATATTTTTATCGTTCAGACTTGGAAAGGAAGACAAAGTAAAGCAAACAATAATATCTATATCATTAACAACATCAGATGATTAGGCATTCTTCAAAGTAAATTCAAATTCTCGGTTTCAGTTCCTATTCTGTTCACTAACTGAAATTATTTCGACAGTAGACCAGAATTCAGCTCCTCCCCTACGTTTGTAACTATCGATTAGTTTGTCTCCAGTTAGTCGGGGCCTGGTTTTTAACCCCGTAATGTTTGAATCATCTCTTTCTGACTCGTGATTACACTTTTTTTTTTTTTAATTTAAGAATATTGTTTTTCCTTCCGATCAAGGCTGTTTATTCTTATTCTTCTGCCGATTTTAGGCTGAAATTTCCTTGTGAATATTCTTAGATCACAGCTTATGACATTTCTGTTTTCGAGTGTATTCAGTGGTGTCAGGATCATAAAGTAATTTAGAAGCCAGAGCGCAAACATCAATTAAGCAGTAGACCACACTAGAAAAGCTTGAACAATAGACCACGGGAAAAGCTTGTAAATCACGAGCCGTCAGGCTCGTATTTTTGCAAGGTTTTCGACAAATTCGTCAGATGACGCAAGAAAACTAGCCTGCGAGCAGGCTCACCAGGGCGGAAAAAGGCCGGCTACCTAGGTGTAGCTAAGTGCATTGACCACTAAAAACAACAACATTTGAACAACATTTGAAAATATAAGCGCCCTGGACTCACCTTTGAGTCACGCGCGCGAGCGGCGAAGTGCAAAGCGATCCGGCGGTAAGGAGTCTGGTGAAGAGGCGCCAAGAAAGTGAGTTTGCCTTGATCTCTGAAAATTTTTCCATTTCTGCTTCGCCTCAGCGAAGTGAAATGCCTCTGGTCGAAAAGCGGGAAAGGCGAAAAAACTGTCAATCTGTTACGTTTGATGAGGAGCAATTACATCCTTACGGAGTCGGTAATTTACCGCAAGTTCCCACAATAAAAAATAAGTCGTCCACATTTGGAGTCAAAGGAAGTGTTGAGTGCGCGTATTATTGATGCGTTAACAAAGTTCCAGTCTGTTTCTGGTTAAATTTCAAACTAGAGAGGGAGCGGGAAACAGCGGTTGAACGGTATGTTAATGAATCAAGACGCACCTGTCGTGTTGCCGACTGCATATCGGAAGAGTTAAGGTGACCGAAAACAGTTTTCAAGTGTCTATGCCTAATTCACCATTACTTTTAAAATATTTATGCTTTAGCGCCCGTTTTTTGCAAGAGTCAAGGTTAACCACAAAAAGGGTTTAGTCAGGAGCCATAATCGGGCACGGAGACCGTAAGCGCGCGCCATTTCTAGTATTGGGGCTGTCCCCATGATATGGGACAACTTTTCTATTTTTAGAACAAATTGTGCCATCATGTGCGGCACACGCGCATACATGCTGCGTGGATTTTTGCGGATACAGCGCGAGGAAATGGCGTCCGAAATTCCCGAAATGTTTGATGCTTTTGGCCCACAAATCAATACGT